TGAGGTCGGGGATCACAGGGGTCGGCTGAGCGGGGGCCGCGGGGTCCTTGAGTTTGGTCTTGCTCTGGGCCACCACTCTCGCCATCTCCTCCAAGTGGCTCTCGGGGACTCCTGCTGACCGGGGTCCGGGTCGAGACCACCCACTCCCACTCCAGCAGCCGGGCTGGCTCGAGCTCGAAGAGCTGAAGGTCGGAGCTTTCGCCTCGGGCTTTCCCAGCTTGCCCAGGATCTCCTGGATTCCACGGCGCACGACGCCCATGCCACGCTCGAGCTCCTCCACTCGCGTGGCCCATGCTGGAGCAGCCTCGTTAGGAGCCGGCCTCGGCGTGGGTTCCTCGCCAGTGCCCTCCTCCGCGGTCTGGTAGTGGAGCCGGACCAAGTCCGGGGCGAACGGGATGCAATCAGCGTGCTCGGCCTCCAGGGGCTCTCCGAAGGCCGTGTGGAGCTCCAGGTCGGCCGCGCCAATCTCCACGATCTCAACGTAGCGGCCCCAATCGGCACTGAGACGGCCGATCCAGACGCGCACGGCCAGGGCCTCCAAAGGATTCTCGCGGTCCTCCGGGGCAACCACTCGAGTAGAAGCGCCTCGGGGCAGCTGGAAGCAGCTGGTAGGCACCAAGCGTCGAGACTGGGTCCGGTGCCAGGCCTTGCCGGGCACCTTCGCTCTCGCCCACCACCGCCAAAGCAATCCACGGCGCAGCCTCCGCGACAGTGCTCCGAATAGCCAACAGGCCGTAGTCAAAATCAGGACCTGCAGATGTAGCGAGGGCGTACCGGCGCAGGTCCAAGCCGAGTTCACCCTCTTCTTCCTCCGCCTCAGCAGCCATCGGCCGGCCACCTCAAGCCCGCCGCCGCCACTGCACGCTTCGCCTCCCACTTGCTGGGAAGGCCCACGAAAACACTGTCACCGAACTGCTTCCCAGGGCCCGGCCCAACCGTCACCAAGGGCTGGGTGTCCCGCCAGGTGTTCTCCACGCGGACGGGGTCGTAGAGGTTTCCCGCGGCGTCGCTGGCAATCACGTAGATCCGGCTCGCCAGGTTCACCCTCTCGCGGCCACTGCTGCCACGGTTGTTCCCCGAGAGGCAGCGCTGAATGTAGGCCCCAATGTCGTCCGCCACCCGCTGCCGGAAGGCGTCCGAAGGAGTTGCCGAAGAGCTCGCCGTCAAGGACCCCGAAGACCCACAGGCCACCGAAGGCGGGCGAGCAGGCGAAGAGGTAGAGGTCGAGGTAGGCAAGTCGTAGCCCGAGGGCCGCGGAGGCGTTGTCGAGTGGTCCGGGTCCCCCCGCACCAGCACGTAGCCCTCGGACTCCAAGCGAGCCACGCGAGCCTGTAAGTCACGATTGTCCTGCTCCAAAAGTTCCAGCCGGGCCGAAAGGGCCTGCACCAACAGTTCCAGCCTTGAAGAACCAGTTTGGCTCATGCGCAGCGGGAGCGTGTCAGAGTAATGCTGGCCAGGCGGTTCCGCAGCGATATTGTAAGATGCTGCCGAGCCAGGTAAACAAGATCCAGCAAAGCCCCCGCTGCTATGCCCAACAGAGCGCCCAAAGCCAAGCCGAAATAGAAGTCCAGCCGAGGAGCCGGGGCGTCCACGAACGGCGAGGGCGCAGGGCAAAGGAAGGGCTCCGACCCCGAATCCTTAAAATGCCCTAAGAAAGCCGCCAAAAGAGCACTGGAAAGACCCCCCGCACCGGCTCCAACGCCTACGGCTAAGGGTCCAGCCGAAACTCTACGAGGCAAGGCTCATTTCGCATTCATGATTTGCATGCATCTTCAATGCTGCAAGGCATGCGCACTACGGCACACTACTACGGTCCCAAACACAGAGGAAAAATGAATACAACTGCCGAGATAAGGGCTTCAAAAACCAAACAGGGTGTTGGGCTTTGGGATATCCCTAAACCCAGAAGACAAGTATGAACTCTGAACCTTCAAAGTGCAAAGCCCGGAGTCCAGCTAACAAAACCTGATCCGATCCGATGCCCCAAACCCGAGTCCCAAACTGCTTTAGAAGATTCCATAAACCCCAAAGCACCTGTAATGTAGGGGCCTTAATTAATAATTAGGATAGGATTTTGGGCTCCTTTATAGTATAGTAATTATTTAAGCCCCTATATTAAACCCCGAAAACAACCGTGTACCCTCATGCAACCTTCAGCCCTCAAACCTCGAAACCTTGGACCCAAACCACCGTACTCTCCACCTACTGGGCTTAGGGCCTAGGGTCACTAGGGTTCAAGGTAGAGGTTTATGTGAAGACAGTCAGCAGACCTGAAACGCCCAAGAAGCCCTGCACAGAATCCTACAGTAGACCCTCCGCCCAAGAACAATCTTAGGGTCTTCAGGGAACACAAATAAGGACAACAAACAAAATCCTACATCAGCTCCTCTCAACCCCATGAACTAACCCTAAACGGGCTCTAAGGCAACAAACTCGCGGAGTTGATGTAGCCCGGCGTCAGGACCACAAGCCGAGAGGAGGTGAGGGCTTAGCATTGTGGGGACGGGTTTGATGTAGGTTTACGGTTTAAGGTTTAGGGTTTATAGGGTTTAGGGGCTTTACATCTTGTGCCCTGCGTCCTAATGACCCAACAGGCCCAAACCAAAGCCTCGCACCCCAATTGATGGCCTCCTCCGAAAACTTAAACTCGACATACCTGTCAGAGCAACAGCTCCTAGGGCGCTGGGATTCATAGACCTACTTAGGGCGCTGGGATACATAGACCTGCGTGGGGTTTATAATAGGGTTCAGGATTTCGGGTTTAGGGCTTCCTGGGGTGCCGGATTGAATTTCCGATTTGCGGGCGGAAAATGCATTCACTGGGAATGCTTCCTTCGCGCCAGACCTTGTGGCCTGCGTTTTAGGGTTTGGGGTTTAGGGTTTAGGGCCTGGGGTAGCAGTTTAGAGTCGTTATAGTTTGGGGTTTAGGGTTTAGCTGTGGGTACCTTTGATTGAGAGGGGCTTAAGGCAATTGTAACCATAGTTTCCGTACTTATAAACCCACTTCTGCTGGCCACCTTGTACATCAGGTACTCATGATGATCCTCATCGCCGCTTACATCCTCCGTAAACTCCTTCATGCATGCGCTTGCATGCACGGAACAGGAGCACACATATACATACAGACATACCTTTGGGCATGTCCCAAGGCTCCAACTGCGCTAGGAGCTGGAACAGCGACACATTCGAACAGCTACAACAACAGATCCCAAGAACTCTCTTCCACTTTGTACACCGGCAATATCATCGAAGAAAATACCTGCCTGAGACATCATGATGTATCCTCGCTATCTGAGACTGTGCCATCTCTGTATGTCTGCGATGCTCACCCTCCTTACTATGGCATCACGCGACCATCATATGCCAGTATCTTTACAGGGCTGGAATCACTCGAGGCAACTTAGCTACAATCTTGCAAAACTCACGCTTTATCCGACAACTGCCACGCCCTGCAACGCACGGCCTTTAAGGGGCTTCGTGAACAACCCCAAATCCAGAAGCCCCGAAGCCTTCGGAAAGCCCAAACCTACTCACTCGCCGCCCAGAGCCCTCAGCTGCTGGTAACTGTCCATAAAACTCCAGCAAAGGCTTTGTGAAGCTTCTGCAAGGTTTTCAAGATCGGATGCCTCTTGAATTAAAACAAGGCTCCAGTTGATTTCTAGGGAGTGTTGCATTCCGTTGCAGACTTGGTAGGGAGTGCTATAAACACAAGGCTTCGAGGGGCGCTTAGGCCTTTACTTTAGATTGGGTTTACAGCTTGGATTATACCATAATATCTTATAAAATCCTGTGGTATACTTTACTATTGGTTCATAATATACCAGAATATCCTATGATATAACCTACTATAGTCTATAATGTACCATACTATCTATTTCAAGGCTTCAAGGCCCTCGCAACTCGGGTCAGACGCTGGGGCTCGGGCTGAAGCCTGAACGCACTCGGCAGGCTTTAGGCTTTAGGGTTTTGGGGGTACCCTAAACCCTAAACTCGAGGCCTACGCCCTAAATCCTCAGCCCTAAACCCTGAACTCTGAGCCCTTACCCGCAAAGGCCCCACTCACCCGGAAGCTAAGTTAGAGTCTACCGACCCCAAGTTTGGAACCCGGGGTCTGAACTCTAAAGTTTGGAACCCGGGGTCTGAACTCTAACATACAGCAATGTTCGTCAAAATAGTCTAAGACACTAAAATATACTATAAAAGAATCTACGATAATATACTAGAAGATCGATTGTAGTATATTCGGAACTATAGTATATCATGACATGCTGCAATATACTGGAGTAGACTCTGGTATACGATGATATAAGCATAGAAAGATAACAAAACGGAACAGCTGGGCGCACTTGTCGAAGACAGGCTGGTTCTTCACAAAGTCCCATCGGCGCGGCTGCGCCACAGAAGCCCTGCCATGAACTCTCTGCATGTCGGGTCTGTGTCTCAGCCTAAGCCCCCAAAACCCGAAACCGAAAGCGTCGAGAAGTTGAGAAGGAAGGAAGGATACAAAAGTTCATAGTATACTTCAGTAGATGTTATAGTATATATTCCAGTATATTGGATTATCGGTTTTTTGGGGGGAGGTCGGAAGAGCCTGGGGCTGGGCTAGGATGCGCTGTTATGAATCGACCTGTTCCTCAGAGCCCCCAGCCCACTACCTGCGGAGCCAAGTCAGGTCCTGCACACCAAACCCTGGGTATTAGAGAAGAGGAGGCTAGGGCGAGCACCAACGAGGAGACGAGCATGACAATGATAACGGTAGGGATGGCCTAAAAGGAGATGGGGAGCATCACAATGGTCACAATGGCTGCGATCCTGATGAATATAGCACAGGTGAGGATGACGGAGATGATGATCATGATGGTGATGATGATGATGATGCTGGTGATGATGACGGTGACGATGATGGTCATGATGATGATGCTGATGATGATGATGATGATACTGATGATGAAGATGAAGATGACGGTGACCACGGTGACGGTGACGATGCCGATGATGATGACGGCAATGAAGGTGACGGTGATGGTGATGGCGCCGGTGATGGCAATGGGGACAGGGATGCGAACGGCGGTGGTAACGACGATCGATGATTAATATGACGATGCTGGTGATGATGATCGCAAAAGGCGAAGCAAACGAGGACGACGAAGGCAGTCAACAAACAAAACACTGCGTCTTGTACAGTTCGTGATACGGCTGCTTTATTGCCAAGTTTGCAGCTCTTTCCCAGCAGCCTCCATCGCTCTACATGCCTTTCTTGAGGACCCGGTCCTAAACTGTAGAACTCAGGACCCTCGACTTAGTTAGCTGGAACCTAGGGAATCGAAATCATCGAAATCTGCTCAGCCGTCCAAAAAGCAAGCCACAGAAACACTGCGGGGTCTTCTGCAGGCTGCTCAGCAGCGGGCGTCGCCTTGGAAAAGCATGTGGGGTGTAGGGTTAGGGCTAAGGGTTTAAAGTTTAGGGTTTTGGGTTTCAAGCATGTGAAATTTGGGTTTGAGATGTTTTGGGCTAGCTTCACGAAGTTGCGACTGCGGCGACTGTTGCAAACCCCAAACCTGGAATCCAAGGCAGAGGGTAATTATGTCTTATTTAAGAACAGCTTGGATTAGAGCACTTTGTGCGCTTGTTTAAAGTCAACCAGGACTATCGAAGTCCCCCGATCCTACTAACAATCTAGGGGCCTTGATTGTTAGAACAGGAAGTTTCAAGGCACATTCTAGTATACCTATAGACAGAAACCCTGAGGAATAATCTGGGTAAGCATAACATCCCCTATGGTTTTGGCCGCCTCTGGGCTCTAGCGAAAATCAAGGGAAGTGCAGAAGCGCAGCCTGGACAACGCACGCCTAGAATGAAGCTTTGGGTCTAGTGTTTAGGTTTCAAGGTCTAGGGTCTAGGGTTTAGGGTTTGGGGTTTGGGGTTTAGGGTCTCGGGTTTAGGGTTCAGGGTGTAGGGGTTCAGGGGGACGCCCTGCCCTGCAGTGCCCTGCCCTGCCCTGCCATGCCACGAAATCCGAATCCAAACCAAAAGAACTGTTGCAGCTTTGAACCTACGCGCTCGGTGCAGAAACGAAACCCTTTAAAGCCACCCTTGAACACGACACGCCACAAAACCGCAAACTCCCGAAATCCTGCCATAAAACCGACGTGAACCTTCAACCCTAAGTGCAACTAGATATATGCCTTCGTTAGCCTTTAGGTTAAACCTCGTGCAATGCTTCCCATCCCCTATCTAGCATCCTGAAGATCGAAAGACCCAAGCTCAAACCTCTGGTACGGTGTAGGGTTTAGGGTTTAGGATTTCCTGAAACCGAACTTGCAACAATGAAGCCGAATAAATTCCGATTCGCCGAAACCCGAAACCTTCACCGATGGTCGACACGGCCACTGCTGACCAAGGGTTTAGGGCCTAGGGTATAG